GTTTCTTTTGAGATAGAGTCTCGCTGTCACCCAGGCTAGAGTACAGTGGCGCAGTCTCAGCTCACTGCAAACTCTGCCTTCTGGGTTCTAGTGATTCTCCTCCCTCAGGCTCCCAAATAGCTGGGATTACAGGCACACACCACCATGTTTGGCTAATTTTTGTATTTTTAGTAGAGATGGGGTTTCACCATGTTGGCCAGGATAGCCTCAATCTCCTAACCTTGTGATCTACCCACCTTGGCCTTCCAAAGGGCTGGAATTACAGGGGTGAGCCACTGTACTTGGCCAAAAAACAATTTTTTTTAAAGAATAGTCAAAACAAAATAAATAGCATCTTTTATCCAGAAAAATAAGAGTGAAGAGCAGGAAAGGTTAACCTCATGAAGCCCTGTGTCCTATGAGTGGGATTTTAAATAACATATTAGTGTTCACAGTCCAAAAATTAATCCGAATTAAACTTACACAGATCAGTCATTGTGCTTATCACCTGTGTTTGAATAACAATGTTCCTTTTTCTTTTTTGAATTCAAGTTCGAAAATTATTTTGCATTTTTGCATGCCAATCATTTCCGGAATGCAGAGTTGCTTACAGGACACAGGTGTTACTCGGTGGAGTTACTGAGGGCCCAGCAAATAAGAAAGAACAAGCTGTTTCCCTGTTGTTGGCTCTATAGCTCTATAGTTTTCCAGAGAGGGAGAACGGTGGTGTTCAGATTGTCATTCATGATGAAGCTTTTAAAAGACGTCAGCTGCCCACCACATCATAGGATGAAGGAAAGGGCCTAGGAGAAATACAGTTGCTCTGACTTCCTTTCAATGAACAGCACCAAGGTCATACTGAACACCAGTTTTTAAACACTTTTCTGAAAAAGAATAAGAAGCATTTAGCTCTTTGCTACAAAGACCTGGTTGAAGAAAATGCTGTCAGCTCCCCGAGGGCTGGCTCTGCCATCTTGTTCATTTCTGCATCCCTGATGTCCAGCACAGTGCCCGGCATACAGCAGATGCTCAATAAACATTTGTCTGAGTGAATAAACGTTTCAAGAAGCCAATGGACAAATCTTTGACATCACTCTATCCCTTTATGGGATGTCTACTACAGTGAAGAATAACACAACAGTGGTTTTATAATACTCCTCAGGCCCTGAGGCTAGGCAGATCTGATTTCAGCCCTCACTTTATCGCTACTCGCTATAGAGCCCTGGTCAAGTTCTCTCCATCTCTCTGTCTATGTCTCAGTTTCTTCATCTGTAACTTCAAATGAATAATGACACCAACCTCCCAGGCTTCTTAAGAGGATTAACAAACACAGTGTATGGGAAACATGTAACACGGTGTCGCATAATTATTAGATCTTATTATTGACACTAAAATTGCATTAAAGTTAGCAAAAGAAAGACAGCATTTTGTAGGTAAACCTTATTTATTTTTTCATTTATTTACTTATTTATTTTTGAGATGGACTCTCTTGTTGTATAGCTGCCCAGGCTGGAGTGCAATGGTGCGATCTTGGCTCACTGCAAACTTCGTACCCTAGTTCAAGAGATTCTCCTGCCTCAGCCTCCTAACTAGTTGGGATTACAGGCGTGTGCCACCACGCCCGGTTAATTTTTGTACTTTTAGTACAGATGGGGTTTCACCACTTTGGTGGGACTGGTCTGGAACTCCTGACCTCAAAAGATCCACGCACCTCCGCTCCCAAAGTGCCGGGATTACAGGTGTGAGCCACCGTGCCCGGCCACATCTTGTAGATAAACTTTAATTTTTTTTTCTTGGTTATGAACCATTTTAAATATATACAAAAGTAGAGTATAATAAACCTGACACTCAGTTTCAACAATTATCAGCTTGTAGGCAGTCATCCCCTTTCCCAGCTCTTTGTATTATTTTGAAGCCAATCCCAGACATTATGCCATTTTATCTGTAATACTCGGGTAGGTAGCTCTAAAAAAATAATAACCAATATTCCATATCACACCTACAAATAATGAATAATGATTCCTTCATTAGATAAATGGTTGGTCTGCTGGAAGCCACAAGAAGAAAGGAAGAAGAGAATCAAGTCTGTTCAAGGCAGGGGCTTAGGCAAGTTCTCTCCAGACCCAACACGATGGAAATACCCGCTGTCACTGTCAAGGTGAACTCTCCCTGCTGCGGGGTGGAGCTGAGCTGGGGGAGGGCACGGAATGAAGCCAACTTTTCATGCCTAAAAGGAGGCAGAACAGAAATCCCCTAGTGATTAAAACTTTCTTATTTCCCAAACCAAATGGTATTTCATCTGAAACAATTCTGTACAAATTCCTCTGCTTCCAGAGTGATGGGAAATTAGAATTTACTTTTATCTTTTCATCTGCCTTGAGGCTATGTTGACAGCGTTGGCTTTTACACAGGTTCTATTACACAATTAGAGCTGATCGAACAGTGACAGGACTGGCCTGGTTTCTGAAATTTAACAGAGCGCAAAAGCTCACATTTTGGGGAGAATTCAGTTCTTAAATATGTTTTGCTTATCCCACTTCCCCCTAATTTCCCCTCATTTGTTTGACAAAGTCAGCAACCCAGCGGAAACGTCAGTTTCATTCTCTGCTGCTCTCCTCATAAAACCTTGAATTTAAATATTTTCCTTTTATTCTTCGCTGGAACTTGGAGCAATTTGGTTGAAGCAAAATGAAATCTATTGGTATCGAAGCTATTGAACATCAACAGTTCAAACCCAGGTTATCACCCCTCATTAAAATACCAAAGTCAATTTGAGAAATCTAGAACTCAGTGGGCACTGGCAGGGAAGTGAATCACAGTGCTGAGAAGGTTGCAAGCTAAGGAGCACGAGAAGGTGAAAAGGGAGCATACAATGTGCTGCATGTTTCTTCTTTCAAAGCAGAAGCTACCTTATAAGCACCAAAGACTTCACTTGGAGGAGATACAAGCCTGACTTCAGAAGTCTGACATAGAACTGAGGCTAGGAAACCCGATGTCAGCCTCACAAACCTTTCCATGTAGGGCTGGCCTCAGAAAGCATGCATCGCAACTGCCCTCCAATAACTGAACTTTGTTAAATGACAAATGGTACTGGCCAGCCTCACTGGGATCTGGTTTCTCAGGAACTTTCTAGATGATAGGCTCTCTTCTAAGACACTTTGATCAGGAATGAGGTTTTCCCTGCACAGCTCCAGCTCCACCCAAGGCCTCACAGTCTCAGGTACCTGAATGTCTAGAAATGTTCACAGGTGCTGAGTCATGGGGTTGGGATGGAGGGTCCACACTTGAGAACAACTCCTGCTCCTGTCTGTTGTCCCATCCTTCCCTCTCTCTTTGAAGACTCTGCCTCCTCCACATCAGCAGCACCCACCCCTCTCCTTTTAGCGCTTTTATTTTGCCCACTTCCCCTTCTACATTCTAGTCTTGGTTAATGGTGTGGTGGAGGGTGGGAGGCAAAGTGGCTTTGCAACGCGGCTTCTGAATTTTTTGTCTCCCATTTAAGAAGGAGAAGAAAGAGACAGAGAAGGTTAGTTGGAGAGAAGTCGTAATCCTGCCGTAGCTCCTTATTATCTACTTTCCCTTTAGACGCGAGCTTCAGAAGGCAAGGCAATGTCTGTCTTATCTGCTGCTGCATCCTTGCTGCTGAGACAATTCCTAGTTTACGGTGGACAACAAATATTTGTTAAATGTTATGGGATGGGTGGACAGATGGATACTGCTTAGCAGCCATCATTATTCCCTACTAAAGGAGCTATTCTACCAAGAACTTGAAAGAGACTACACAAGAGAAAATAGAAGTCGGTATACATTTCCCCTTTTGATTTAAAGAGCCTTTCTTCTTAACAACAACAACAACAACAACAACAAAAAACCTTTATGACTTGTGGAAGCCAAAGCAACTCCATCTTAGATGCTAATCTGCCATGCTGACTGCTGATTAATCCCTGTTCCAGGAGGCTTCTAAGAGTTCTGGTTTATCTGTTCTTCCTTGTATGAGAGCATATACTTGTCATAAGTCCTGCCTGTAGGTGAAAATGACCTCGACGTTATTGTACTTCAGTTGTCGCCCACATCCCTTCTGAATCATGCATGCCTTTTCCCCGTGCTGTATAAACCCTGGGTCTACAGGGTAATGGGGTGAGGATCCATCATCTTGTCTGGCCACTGTCCAGGACACACACATGGCTGTTCATAAGTCCCTATGAAATGTTGCTTTCTGAGAAGCTGGATATATCAGCCTCTTTCTTTGGCCTCTCAGCTTCCTTGGACTTTAAGGATAGGTTTGCACAGACCAGCTCACTGTGGAACATGACTTTTTTGTGCTTTTATGTGTCATTTTAGTTCCTCTAAACACACGTAGTAAGAAAAAAATGGTAAGAAGAATGATACAGATGACCCAGTTCAATCAGATTTCAAAGACGATGTGAAAAAGATCTACTGTAGTTCAAAAGGAGTGTCTTCCCCACTCATCTTTTTAAGGAATCATGTGGTTTGACAGGCTCAAATCTTTTTCCAGCTCGCTGGAGACTGGGTGTGGAAATGGAAGAGGAAGAGGCATTAGCTAAACGGAGCCCAGGACCACCATGGAGTGGGGAAGGCTGAAGAGTACGGCAGGGAGCCCCAGGGAGAGCCAGAGGCAGCGGGAGGGTATAGGGCATAGCAGGGAGATGAACTGGGGAGCTACCAAAATGGGAGGAAAAGGAAGAATCAGTGAGAGACCCCTCTTGCATTGAATCACTGCCGGGGGCCCTGATAGCTGCAACTGCCAAGCATATTACTCAAAATCACCCTGGCAGCCAATTCCTCGTCCTTGGCAGCCTCTCCACTTCCTGGGGCCAGATTCCCTTAAGGCCCCATGAGTCTTTTCATTCAACCACCTGCTTGCCACTTGCACAACTCCTGCACTGCCCTGCCCTTCGGGTCTGCCCATCCTCAGTATCTTGCCTTTCCACAGCTAATGAAGTCCCAACAAAAAACAAGCTTCCCAATAAAAACGAGCTTCCAGGTAAAAGTGGCAGCAAACGTTTTTTGAAGTGGTTTTTATACTTTCATAATTCTCCTAAAGTAAAATAATATAATGTAGTATTGAAATAAAACTGTGGTTGCTTCACGGAACCATCTGCCTTTGGTTAAACCAGGAGCGATGGTCTGCTTTCGGATTTATAGTTTCCTCTTTGGTCCCGAGCTGCCTCTCATTAAAGGGAACACTGGTTGCCTGAACAGTCTCACTTGCAACCATGATGCCTAAACATTGCTTTCTAGGCTTCCTCATCAGTTTCTTCCTGACTGGTGTAGCAGGTAAGTGCTTTGTTTCTTTTTAATTGCTCGTAGCTTTGTCATCTCACTCAGATCAAGGATCTGTTAGAAACGGCACTCATGCTTTTTTGGACTTTATAAGGGCTGCAGCTTTCGATGTCACTAAATGACCAGAACAGGCATGGGGTTAGTGTCTATCTGCAGCTTGAAAGACCCCACATGTACTTAGTGAGTACTCACTAAAGAAAAGGCACTCTAGAGGGTGCAGAGACTTCATACAGAACAAATGTACATGTCTATCTCTCTCTCTCTCTCTCTCTCTCTCTCTGGCTCTCACTCACTTTAGAATGTCTTTTACCTTGAAGGAACACTATATCATGGTGGTTACCAGCACAGGCTCCTAAGCCAAACTGTCATAGTCTGGACTTCAGCTCTGCCATTTTACCATATAGGAAAACTTGGGAAATTTATTTAACACCCCTGTGCCTCAATTTCCTCATCAGGAGAATGGGCATTCTAGGTCACTGTGAAGATTAAATGAATTAATATATGCCAAGTGCTTAAAGAAGTGCTTGGCACAGAATAGGGACCACAAACAACATGTGAGAATTCACTTCTGGTATTCTTGGAGGAAACTTCAGGCGTGTAGAGCATCTTATCACCACCGCATACTTCTGAGCAAGCATAAGAATCCAAATTCACAATCGGGTACCTCTCAGTGTAAGTGATTCAAGTAACTTGCCAAGATGGTACAGTTGTTCAGTGACTAATACATAAAAGCAATCCCAGCCTTCATCTTCCATAAATGTTTGGATTTGAGAAGACTATGCCTCTGGTCCTTGGTAATAGCAAGGACTCATTTAGCAAAATATGGCAAGAATTCAAATGCTGTCAAAATGTTCCCAGCTCTGCATCTTACCAAGCCTGTAACCTTGAGTAAGAGATGCAATTTTTTAAAGCCTCAGCTTCCTCATCTGTAGAATGCAATAATAAAAATACCTTACTTGGCGGCTGTGGGAATTAAGTTGTAAAGCTTTGAACATGGTACTTAATATAAGTTAATGCTCATATATGTTTGATGTTTGATGAATGTCAGCAAGAAGAAGGAGGAGGAGGGAAGAAGGAAGAAGATAAAGTACACCCTCAGTTTCTAATTGGTCAGCTTCTTTCATTGACTCCTCTCTCCCATGGCTTTGCTCTTGGTTTTCTGTTGGAGAAAAGAGGCAGGCTCTGCAGCCAGACTGTCTGGGGAAAAGACTGGCTTCACTACTGGCTGCCCGGAAAGCTCCTTCGGGTCTCCCAGGCTTGGTTTTTTCAGTCTGTAAGAGGAAGACCATGATGCACAGTACCTTCCTCGCAGAAGAGCTGGGCAAATTAAATGCATTGATGGAGATAAAGTCATTCAGTGCCTGGTGAAGAGCGAATTGTTCTTACTGTTAGTGGTCTCAATGATGTTACAAAAATGAGAGAAGCAATCCATAGACAGAGAGATAAAGGGCATTAAGCCATCTTTCTTCATGTGAGCAAATCAATTCTAGGCAGGCCTTCAGGAAATGGTGCCTGTCATCTCCTGAAAATTCCTGGAATTTTTAGGTTCTAAAGATCATCAGTCAGGTGGTGATTTTTGTGAGCAAAATCAATTGCAGCTGTAGACTCTTTCCAAGTACACAACACCCTTTGATGCACTGAAGGTGGTCCAAAAAATACAAGTGAAAACAAATTAAAAAACAACAGTATTCACACTATTTGTTTGGTAAGAATAAAGGCCTTAGGAAACAGCCTTGCTCATTTCAAATAACAAATCTTGAAAGTTCAGAGCTGAGACCATGGGCTTGGGAGTATTTTTTCACCATCTCAATAAGGTGTTACATTTGAGCAAGACTTGAAGGAGGTGGAGAAATGAGCCACGTGAAATCCACGGGGAGAGCAGACCAGGAAAAGGGAAGGGCCAGTGCTGAGGCCCTAAGGCAGGGTCATCGGGGGCATGGTGGAGCAAGTGAAGGAGTCAATGCTGCAAACACAAGGGGTCGGAGTGACGGAAGATGAGGTGAGGGAGGAAACACAAGATATGCCTCCTGACTCCTTCTCCTTCTGCCCAACTTCTTATCCCTTAAAAGAAACCTTGAACCCTAAATCAAATTTTCCCGAAGTTATCTTGCCTCTATGCAACTAAAGGCAAGTGAGGTTGTCCCACCTATGTCGCATGATTTGAGGAAGAAAGCACAAGTCATGCCAGTGCCAAATTACCCCATCTCCTGCCACGAGCAGTCTCAGAAACACTGGGTCCCCAGCAGGGTCTTGGGCAGTTTTCCTCATTAGCATGGCCATTTCATCTGAGGGATTATGCTTGCAGACTTGGAGCCAGGACGCAGGCAGGTAAATACAGCCATTCAGGAGTGGGACAGCAAGGGCAGATCTACCTGGAAGCAGGACACAGAGACTGAGCAAGCACCTGAGAAAGGAGGGACCGAGTGCTGGGCTGAGGGCCTGGAGCCAGAATTGGTCCCTAGCAAATTTAGCTTGCGTAGCGCTAATATAGAGGTTCCTAAGAAGATGGTTGGTGGTCTTAGTGTGGGTCCTTCCTCTCAGTCATTATATTTCATCACTATTTGGGAATCAAATAAGAACAATATTTTTTCACTGCAATTTACTTCCCCTACAGCTTGGGAAATAGGGTGGGAAGATATCATGTACATGTTTAGGATCTGGAACTCATCATTCTGAGACTTTAGTGTGCCTCAAAAGTCATTGCATTGGAGATTCAAAATGTTGATTTCTGGGCTCCACCACTACTATCTGCGCTTAGAGCAACTACTTCAGGGAATCCTGATGCAGATATTGCATTGGAAACTACTGGTGGGAACAACGGTACTCCTAACAATGTTCAATGTTCTTCCTTCTATTATCTTAGGAACTCAGCCGGCCCATGAGTCTCTGAAGCCTCAGAGGGTACGATTTCAGTCCCAAAATTTTCACAACATTTTGCAATGGCAGCCTGGGAGGGTGCTTACCGGCAACAGCAGTGTCTATTTTGTGCAGTACAAAATGTAAGTAAATTGAGCTTCCTTCAGCTGATAGAGACAGCACTGGGATAACATGTTCTAGAATGCAATGGAGTGTTAGGATCCGAGCTTTTTCTCAGTTTCAGAGGGGCTGAGAAGAAGCCAAGGTTGGGATAGCAGTGACTTGTCTCCCCTGAATGTTACCTGGGGATTCAAAACGCATGATGGTGTGCAGTGCATTGGGCAGTTACTTCAGCCCTAGACCTGCACCAAGACCTCACAGGCTCAGCCTTTGCCTCCATGGTGGAGCCTGGCACAAGGTGGGTTCTCAATAGATTTGTCAAGCAAATGTCGGAAGCAGTTATTTAGCACGTAGCAAGTACTCAATGAGTGAAACTATCACTAGTTGAAAAAGAAGTTAAGTTGTGGCAAACGTGGAGGTGAATGTGTAAAATAAGTTTTTAATTTAAAAGTCACTTTCAGAATGGATTTACTGTTTAGAAAATTGTTTTCAAACACTAATGACTCCTGTAAGCATGAACACAAACTGGAGCATGCTGCTGCATGTTCCCCTCGCATGATCTTCGGGCTACTCCTGCTGGATCGTTGCCAAAGCTCGGATATAATCTACTCCTTCCCTGGCTCAAGGCCTGGAAACAAACACATCTGATTTGAAAATGGCAGGTTTTTCCACTCCTATATTTCTGGGGGGTGAGGGGGGTTGAGGCTCTTCCTCCTCTGACAGTGAGACAGGAGATATTACAGTTTAGCTTTCATGTTTTTTCACAAAAAATTCAGAAAATCAAATGCAGCTATGGGCCAAAATAGCATTTTTTGTCCCATAAATTCATCCATGTCTCTCCAGCCTGGAGCAGGTCTAGGTCGGATTTTTTGCTAATTAATTTCAGAAGGACTATCCCCAGAAGCATCTCCATCTTTAACCATTGCTACTTCTCTCTACATATTTTATGTGGGGATTGCAAAATTTACAAATCTTTACAATGAACATTTCTCCATTACAAAAGTAGATTTGTGCATCGCTGGAGATACTTTCAGCATGTCGGAAGTAGAGATTGGTACCCTTTTTATACTTCCCCTTAAGCAGTATAAATAGGTCAAAAGTGGACCTATTTGTGGTCCTAAGTACTAAGATTAGAAACTGTATTACCAGGAATCTAATGAAGATTAAACTTCAGGACCCCATGGAAAGATTTTATATTTATAAGTCTTTTCTTAAAGAGGACTCCAAAGCTGCTATGGCTTGAGTTTGTCTCCACCAAAACTCACGTTGAAATGTAATCCCCAGTGTGGTGGTGTTGGAAGTGGGTCATGTGGATGGAGCCCTCGTGAAAGGCTTACCATTCTTGCTGAAGTTAGTGAGTTGTCACTCTTGCAAGACTGAATTAGTTCTCATGCAATGTTTCTATGAGAGTGGGTTGTGGTAAAGCCAGGATGCCCCTTGAGTGTTGCCTCTGCCACAGTCCGTTTTTCCCATTGAACTTCTCTGCCATGTTCTCATGCAGCTTGAGAAGCTCTCACAAGAAGCCAGGTGGATGCTGGCACCACACTTCTTGTAACTTCCTGGGCTGCAGAACACGAGCTAAATTAACCTCTCTTCCTTATAACTTACCTAGCCTCAGGTGTTCTGTTACAGAAACACTTAATGGACTAAGATTATATAAATTTCAGACTCCAGAATACCTGAATCCATTCCTGTCTCTAAGGGATTTTCAACAGCAGAAGGTAAATTTAGAATTTTGAAAACTTTCACTTTAGTGTATCCAGTTCATGAGCTATACTGTTATATCCCTCGCATTTAGAATAGGATGAACAATGAGATCTTATTAAAAAAGAAGTCAGTCATTACAGCTAAGTTAAAGACTTATTATAAATAAATAAATAAATAATAATTTTAAAACATCAAATTATGCTCAATACATGTTGTGATTCTGCTTTAATTGTGAGAGAATGAAACTGCTGTCCACATGTAGATTACCGAGTACAGATACTGCTAGTCTTCCTTATTATTTGTCTAGAAAGTTAGACTTCAAGTCTTTTAATAAATATTTTGAAAAACTTTCTCCCCAGCCTCCAATTCCCTCTTCAATCCCCACCATCACTTTTTGCATTGGTCTGATTCACGGCCGGTAAGGAAGCGAAGAGTGAATCTTCTCTTCGGCTGTTACAACACCCGGCGGCCTCAGGCTGAGTCAACCCCTCTGCCTCATTACCTTTTTTCAGGGGTTTCCCTCCCCCTCTCCCAATCCCTAATTACAGGGCTCCATACATAGTCCTTACTACAAGTTCCCATCAGTTTTCAATAAACAGATTAATCGTATATTTGGGTAAGCAACACCTGGATGGAAAGCGGTAGGAACTTCTCAGAAGCAGCCACATTATTCAACAGCATGCTGAGGAGAAGTGGAGAAAAACCACAAACAGCCAAAACCTCAGAAGCGTTAAGGACGTGGAGAGTGAGTATTCAAAAATGGAAGTCAGCCCACACTCCAGAAAGAACATTTCACCGAGTACTAACAAATAAAATAAAACCCTATGTTAGCGATACAGGAGATGTCCGGGATGTTTATCTTCCAGCAAGACAGCACTTTAGTTAATGCTGTAGTTTCTATGTGTCCCCCAAAAGTTTATATGTTGGAAACTTGATCCCCAATGCAGCAATGTTGAGAGGTGGGACTTTGGGGAGATGATTGGGTCATGAGGGCTCTACCCCCATGAATGGATTCATCCATTGATGAATTAACGAATTAATGTGTTATGAGGAAGTAGGCTAGTTTTCACAAAAATGGGTCTTTTATTTAAAAAAAGTCATCTCTCTTGAACCCCTATGATGTCCTCTGCCACCTTAAGTCTCTGCAGAGAGTCCCCATCAGCAAGAAGGCCCTCACCAGATGTAGCACTTAGACATTAGACTTCCTAGCCTCCAAAACTCCAAGAAATAAATTCCTTTTCTTTATAAATTACCCAGTCTCAAATATTCAGTTATTGCAACAGAAAATGGACTGAGACAGTTAATAAGAAGCAATATTTTTAAAGATTCTGAAGAGCAGCCATATGCTTTCATGGTGGTATTGATACAAGAATCAGGTATAAAGAATTATTCATCTGAAAATATTGAAGACTCCTTGAGTGGAGAAAAGAAACTGAGATCTTTGCCTTTTCCCTGCTACAGGTATGGACAGAGACAATGGAAAAATAAAGAGGACTGTTGGGGTATTCAAGAACTCTTTTGTGACCTTACCAATGAAACCTTAGACATACAGGAACCTTATTACGGGAGAGTGAGAGCGGTCTCTGCTGGGAGCTATTCAGACTGGAGCCTGACGCCACGATTCACTCCCTGGTGGGAAAGTGAGTTCCATAGAGTTTCTTTGCCCTTGTTCTTCCTGCTTTTGGACAGCCCTCCCAGAGCATGGCTAGTGACCACCAGGCCTTGTGCTTTGCTGAGGTCTACATCATTATCTCCATTTGGTCTAATTCTCAGAACAACTCTAGGAGATAGCTTTTATTACCCTCATTTTCTAGCCCAGAACATCTAGATGTAGAGGCTTCGGTCAATGCTCAAATCTCATGGCCGGTATTATCCAAGTCAGGGTTCAGATTTGCTGCTCTGAATGCAGAGCCTCCACTCCATCAATTTGTTACTGTGTGTGTATGTGTGTGTGTGTGTGTGTGGGTCTCCCTTTGTCACCCAGGCTGGAGTGCAGTGGCACAATCTCAGCTTGCAACCTCCGCCTCCAGGGTTCAAGCGATTCTCCAGTCTCAGCCTTCCAAGTACCTAGGATTACAAGCGTGTGCCACCACACCTGGCTAATTTTTGTATTTTTAGTAGAGATGGGGTTTCACCATGTTGGCCAGGCTGGTCTCAAACTCCTGACCTCAGGTGATCCGCCCCCTTTGGCCTCCCAAAGTGCTGGGATTACAGATGTGAGCCACCACACCCAGCCCCCCAAAAAAGTATTTTTAAGCAGCAGAATTTGTCATAGTGCTCTAGTCCTTTCCCAAATATGAGGGTTAAGTTCTTGAAAATACTCATATTAGAAGAATTTTCTGTTGAGGAAATTAAAAGTTTTAGTCACTTCCCCAAAAAGGCAGACCAAAAGTGTTCTCTTAGATAAATATCATCCATCCTGAATGATATTTATTCCTCATCTGGTTTAGTCACAATCATAGAATAATATAATCTAAGATGTAGGTGATAAACTTAACCATTACCAACAGACCTTGTATAAAATAGTAGAGAAAAGAAAGAGAGAGAAGTGGTTTAATGTATAGGTATAAAGATGTGCATAAACAACAGGAAAGAAAATTAAGGTATTTACCACAGTCCTCATAATTGCAACTCGTCACAAAGCCATAATTAATATTTATAACTTCTTCCCTCATTATAAACTCAACATTCACTCTTTTCAGCCAGCACTTCAGTTCTTTATCCATGAGGAGTCTGAGTCCTTTTGGTGCTTCCTGTCACAGCTCGGCCTAATCGTACATTAATTTTTATCACTGAATAGAGAAGCTGTAAGAGGGACACTTGAGGATACCAAGAATTCTTCCACCTGACACCATGGTATTTATAATTGTATTGTGCCTTGGTAATCAGAATCACCCCAGACAATATAAGAACCTCATTTTCTTTTTGCGGGTTAAATGGTATGTGGAACTACAAATGATCAGGAGAGACCCTTGACTACCAATTTTTGGAAACCACCTTTGTTATAAACCAGAATTCAAGGCCAAGTATATGGGAAACAAAAAAATGTCATGAGTTGTTCACTGTGGGTAACAGTGACCGTTGCTCCTCTCACTTCCACTTCTGATATCCTAGGCCAGTAAATTCTGTCCATGGAAGAAACAAGCACCATATATTGGCCACAGGCTTAGTGAAGCATTTATCAATTCATATACCACTTCACAAGATGTCTCTCAAACTGAGTTTTAATTATGCATTTCACCTTCCTATAAGGTCATGGATTTCTGAGTGACAAATATACAATAAGGCCCAATATTCTTGTAGGTCTGAGAGCTTTCTTCACTCCTTTCGCATTAAGTTCTGTTTCATAAGCAATGTATGGTGGAGTACTATGCTCATGAATAGGCATTGACTACATCTGTGGGTGTGTGTGGTCCCAGGAGTGGGGAGGGTCTGCTGATAAAAGCATTGAAGCAGTAAATACAAATCTATAAACAGAATCTGTAAACAGGATCTACACCCAGCAGTAAAGAAAAACTGTAACCAGTGTCTCTTGTCCCTTTCCTCCACCCTTTTGGAAGGGAACAAAAATAAACCTACCTGCAATGAGATGGCAGATGAGAGCCCCTAAAATATGGCACTATATTAGGGGTTCAACATTGATCTTCACTACTGGAAAGTTAGACACTTGGCACTGTCAGACCAACCTTGGTAAGAGGAGATCCATATTGTTAAGTCTGTATATAACCTCCATCATGCAACTATTTCGTTCAGGAGTCCATAAACCAACTATAGGACACTGGGGAAATAGACTGTCACTGCATCCACTTAGATTTTTTTTAAACAGTCTTATTGAGGTATAATTCACACAGCTTATACTTTAAGCATATAGCATACAGTTTAATGGTTTTTACTATATTCACAAATATGTGTAGCCATCCCTCACAATTTTAGAACATTTTTATCACCTCAAAAAGCAATTCCACACCCTTTGCCTATCACCTTCCAGTCCTGCCATTCCCCTAGCCCTCAGCCCTGGTAACTACTAATCTTTCTGTCTCTGTAGAATTCCCTGCTCTAAATAGACTTATATAATATATGATTTTTTGTGTCTGGCTTCTTTCACTTAACATGTTTTCAAGCTTCATTCAGGTTGTAGTATGTATCAGTACTTTATTCATTTTCGTGGTCAAATAATAATCCATTATATGGATATACCACATATTATTTATCTATTCCTCAGTTGATGGACATTTAGGAGTTTCCACCTTTTGGCTATTATGAATAATGCTGCTATGAATAATCATGTAAAAATTTTTGTGTGGGAGCTTTTTTTGTTTGTTTGTTTGTTTTTTGAGAGACAAGATCCTGCTCTGTCACCTAGGCTGGAGTATAGTGGCACAATCATAGCTCACTTCAGTCTTGATCTCCTGGGCTCCAGCAATCCTTCCACCTCAGCCTCCCAAGTAGCAAGGACTATCACGCATGTGCCACCATGCATGACTGGGAATGCATTTTTATTTCTCTTTAATATATATACCTAGGAATGGAATGGCTGGGTCTCATGGTAACTCTTTGTTTAGTCATTTGAGAAAATGCCAGACTGTTTTCAAAGCATCTGCACTGTTTTGCATTAAGGAGTATATAAGGGTTTTGATTTTTCCACATTTTTAACCAATCTTTTTTTTATTATAGCTATCCTAATGGTTATAAAATGGTATCTCATGTGTTTTTTATTTGCATTTCCCTGCTAATTAATGATGTTGAGCTTCTTTTTTATGCTTATTGGCTATTTTGTACCTTCCTTTGGAGAATTGTCCATTGAGATCCTTTGCCTATTTAAAAAATTTAATTATATCTTTTTATTTTTGAGTTGTAAGAGTTCTTTATATATTCTGCATACCAATGCCTTATCAGATATACGATTTTCAAATAGTTTCTCCTGTTCTGTGGATTGTCTTTTTACTTTCTTGATGGGATCATTTGATACCAAGTTTTAAACTTTGATGAAATCCAATTTATCTATTTCTTCTTTTGTAGCTAGTGCTTTTGGTGTCTTATCTAAGAATCCTTTGCCAAATCCAAAATCATGAAGATTTACTCTGTATTTTCTTCTAAGAGTTTAATGCTTTTATCTCTTACATTTAAGTCTGATTCATTTTGAGTTAATTTTTGTATCTGGTGTGAGGTAAGGGTCCAATATTATTTTTTGACATATGACTGTCTAGTTGCCTCAGCACCATTTGTTGAAAATCAATAGGCCATAGAAGTGTGATTTACTTCCAGACTTTCAATTCTATTTCATTGATCTATACATTTATCATTGTGCCCATACCACACTCTTTTGATTACTGTTGCTTTGTAGTAAGTTTTGAAATTGGAAAGGGTGAGCACTCCTCTTTGTTCATCTTTTTCAAGATTGTTTTGACATTATGGGTTCCTTGCAATTCTCTAACCACCTAGATTTTTTAAGACCTCCTTTCAGTGTGAGTCCTTTGCTCCCTTTGCTTTGCATTCATATGACCACAGAAATATTCACATTCTATGTCTTAATACTTAAGGATCCATCCATATACCTCTTCTAACTGGTGCAAGGTCCAATTAGATACAAGTTAATTGGAGCATGTACAAAATGCAATTGAACTCAGAAAAAGGCATTTTCCCCCAACTCTCTAATTAGCAGGAGGTGGAACAGAGTTGAGCAAACTAATTCATGGTAATTCTCACATTGTTTCTTGATAAACTGAAATTCAAGGTCAATACACTCAACTAGCAATTCTCTAGCTGAGGAAAAGGAGATTTCATGACTAAACTGATGAACACCAGTGGGGGAATTTCACAGATCAATTTGATTCTTATATTCAGGCTTAGAAATAGGGTCACATTCAGATTTACTTATCAAATGAAGCCCTCTCCAGTCTGTGCCATTAAGCCAGCCAGGTATGAATAGCCAAAGACATTGGCTGACACAGCTTTAGCTCAATTCTATTTAAATTGGGATAGTGTTAAGAAGGGTTTGTGTGTTCTCTATATGACCATTCTCCCTAAAAAAGAATCAGAAAAGGAAAGAAAAAGCTTTAGACCAGGTCCTTTAAAAAGCCATTTTATTTTATTTCAGGGCCTCTTAGTAGAAGAATAGGAAACTCAGTCTATAAATAACTGCTACTCTTGTTGATGCAATAGTGAGGGGAATGATCCACTCAGCTGCCTCCTAATTCCCAGCTTTGCATCGTCTTACCACAGCTCCTAAGGCTTTCTGAAGAACATATTTCAAAAAACATGTTTCTACGTCCTCAGGACAGCATGTCCTGGCATCTGTGATATAGACTAATGAGCCAGCTGCATGCATTGGCTCCTCTGACACCCAATTTTGAGCAGCATGATGTTATCTTAGATTAAGAAGTTCTGATTTATGGTGTCTATCTAGAGACAAAGCAGATTTTAAAGATAAAATAAAATAAGACTTCTTGAGTTAAAAGCAGCATTTGATACTTAGTGAGATTTCAATATGATTTGACCCGAGAATTGCTTGGATTAAAAATAGATGTGAAGGCTATGTGCAGCGACTCCATGCCAGTAATCCCACCACTTTGGGAAGCTGAGGCGGGAGGATCACTTGAGGCAAAGAATAGAGTATTCCAAGCAAAGAGAACAGCATTTGCAAAGGCCCTTTGGCATAGCAAACGTGAGGGACTGAAAGACAACGGGTGTAGTGAATAAGAGCATGCAGGAAGGAGTCCACAATGAGCTGGGACTGGAAAGGTAGGCCAGGTACAAGAAATTTTTAAGGAGTTGTGACTTCCTCCAGAAAAATGTAATTTTACTCAGGAGCTACATGATCAGACTTGTGTATAGAAAAGATCGTTTTGACTATATTTGGGGAACAGGTTGGATGAGGATAAGTGAAGTCGTGGTTTACTAATAATCATCTACAGGAGACAGCATTTGGTTGATGAAAAGGACTAGAGAAAATTTATTCCTGGAGGGACATTTAGCAAGAAAAATTTGCAGGACCAGGTGCTAGATCAGATATAATGGTGAAGAGAACACGTCAAAGAAGACCTCTAAGTTCCTTGCGTGCAGAATTAGATGAATCGCTGAGATGTTTTTGATGGGGTTTTATGAAAAAGACCAGTTTGGTGGGATGCAAGGTAATAGAGATTATGAGTTTGGTTTTGAGTATGTTAAGTTTAAGGTGCTTTTTTGGACATATCTCTTCATATCCAAGACCCAAAGGTAAAGTCTCTATTAGAGACAAAAATGTGTGAGTCATTTCATGCACATAGCACAGTGGGCATTGATAGGACTGCTTAGGGAGAGAGTGTTGAGTGAGAGATAGTTTTGAGTAAGACCAGATATTGAGGGACTCTCACCCAAAGATGCCTGAGTAAGAAAAATCTTAAAAGAAGGCTGAGAAGGAATAGCCAAAAATATAGGAGGAAATCTGTGGGCTGATATGTTCATGAACAGTGTGAAAAGGTAATATTTCAAGGAGGGAGCCGTTAAAGAGTAAAGTGCTACGAGGTAAAATAATTTTGACTTGATCTTGTAACACAATCACAATCCAGTGAATGAGTCAAGAAATTTGCAAATGATTGCAAAACTGATTTTGCAATCAGTTGCAAAATCTAGCATCACAGATCACAAACCAGGAACCCTGTGATGTCCACAGGCTGACTCACTGATAGGTCAATGTCTAAAATGTGTGCCTCACTACAAAAGGGATGTGTACATAGTAAACTATCACATTTAAACAATTGAAATGTAAGATCATGAATTCATACATTCAAAAGACAGGTTCCATATGCACATGATTAAAAGAAAATTCTTGGAAACAGGATGGCAGGCTTGCAGTGAGGAGTTGTCAAGGAATGGAAATTGGTATGCCTAGAAGCACATTTTAAAAGCAGTTTCTCTTGAGAACATCTTTTTTCCTACTACTTGATAAGCATCTTGAAAGACTGTGGCTGTGGCTGCAGTAAAATTGGTGATATTAAAAAGATCTTGAAACATTTATTTCCAATCCAAAAGATGATCTCTCACCGTGTTGCCCTGGGTGGTCTTGAACTCCTGGGCTCAAGCAATCCTCCTCCCTCAGCCTCCAACAGTGCTGGAATTATAGGAGTGAGCTGCCACACCCTGCCAATTATCATTTTTTTAGAAACAGGGTCTCACTCTATTGCACAAGCTAGAGTGCAGTGACATGGTCACAGTTCACTGCAGCCTCAGCCTCCTAGGCTCAAGTGATCCTCTAGCTTCAGCCTCCCAAGTAGCTGGGATTACAGGTACATACCATTTTGCCCAGCTAATTTTCAAAATTTTTTTGTAGAGATGATGTCTTGCCCGGACCTCACCCAGATTGATCTCAAACTCCTGGCCTTGATCAATTCTATTTCGGCCTTGGCCTCCCAAAGTGTTTGGATTACAGGTATGAGCCACCATGCCTGGTCTTTAAAAATTTTTTTAATATTAACCTAATCCATGCATAATTAGGAAGATCCCCAGTGATGTCAAACAAGAAAATAAAATATGTGTAAATGATTTTTTAAAAAATTAATAAAAGAAAAATTTTCAGTAATTATAGTTTGGGCCAGAAGGGGAAGATGCTATCTGGCTTAAATATAAATACTTTAGAAAAAAAATACACAATAGTATTTAATCCTGTCACATTTATCTTCAACGAATTTCTACCAATTGAGTTCTAAACACCTGGGTCACACACAAGAAAGGCGGTTTTTCGCGTGCTAAATATGTGACAAGAATGTTGGAAGTGTGTTTTTATCTGGGAGAAAATTGATCATGCATGATATTCTCTTATGAAAGTGAGCAGTGATTCATTCTCACCTCACAAGTGGTAGGTAAGTGTTCTCTGGTGGTCAGCTAATTTGGAGCATGGGAAGCATAAATGAGATTAAGTATCCACCGGTTTGGAGGATTCAAGTGTAAACAAAGGGAGAATTCCTTTTCCTTCGAGCAATTAGGAAAATGTCCAATATAGTTGGAAAGTGATTTAAAAAGCTATGGTTCTAAATTAAATAGCCTGGGAGTAGGAAACTCTCCTCTTCTAAAACACTAAGAAATTCTGGATAAAATAAAACACATTTTCCAAACTCCACAGAGAAGCAAAAATGAAAATAAAGGGAATTCTCGGGGGCCAAAACAAAGTAAACAGAAATAAAGAGGACGCAGAGGATAAACATAGTGAAGCCGGAGCTGACCTGAGGGCATGTGCTGGACGTGGGAACTAGACCCTGAGTGGTAACAGCCACTCCTAGGACAAAAGGCAAGGTTTTAGGCCAGCACAAGGCAGGGAGTCAGTGACAACAAATACCCCAACAAAAATCTTAGGGCCTCCAAGGGTTACACTGTCAATAAAAAGGCAGACGAGCCTGGGTTTGGTGGCATGCACCTGTAGTCTCAGCTACTCAGGAAGCTGAGGGAGAACCACTTGAGTACGGGAGTTCGAGACCAGCCTGGGCAATCTAATGAGATCCTGTCTCAAAAAAAACCTCAAAACCAAACAAACAAACAAAAAAAGGAGACTAAGAAAAACCTTTCAGTAAAGAGAGAAAAGTAATTTGTGTGTTTCCATCTTTACAATGCTAAGAATCTAACGCCCCCTAAATTCATAAAGGTTTGAGATTCAAATTCATGTGCAATTTTCTTTTTTTATGTTTTATTTTTGTTTTTGTTTTTTAACATGGGGTCTCACTATGCTGCCCAAGCTGTAGTACAGTGGCATGATCATAGCTCACTGCAGCCTCAGCCTCCCTGGGCTCAGGTGAGCCTCCCACTGCAGCCACCCGAATAGCTGGGACTACAGGCATGCATGCCACCATGCCGGCTAATTTTTGTTTTTTGCTTTTTGTTTTGGTAGAGATGCAGCTTCACCACGTTGCCCAGGCTGCTCTCAAACTCCTGAGCTCAAGCAATCTGCCCACCTTGGCCTCCCAAAGTGCCAGGATTGGTCTCCCAAAGTGCCAGTGGTGGCATAAGCCACCACACCCAGCCTACATATACAATTTTCATGTTTCAGAAAACATCAACTTAAGATTGTTCCAGGTTGATGGTGCCACAGAACACCCTCCAGAAGCAAAGCCAAATTCTTAAACCAGAGTTCAGAGCAACCCAACACATATGTGGTCATTTGATTTACACCCATGGTGCAGTTCAGTGGAGTAACTATGCTTACTTTCCTGGAGTTCAGTAATTGGAGAAAACATAAAGGAGGCTTCTGGCTGTTTGTAATGTTCTTTCTTGATCTTGGTGTTTCCTATACAGGAATATTTGTTTGTAAAGACTTTTGAGTCAAATCTATATTTATTTGTCTGTATCTATCTTATAGGTCAACAAAAATTATTTAAAATTTAAAAATTCAAACCAAAACTACAAAAAAGAAAATATCAACTTTTAACCTGTGCTTACAAGGAAACATAAAGACCACATGCAAGTTTGTGAGAAACAAGCACTAACCTGAACAACACTTCAGGCATTTGCAAACTTAGAATCAGATAATAAAATGAATATGTTTAAACTTATAGCAGAGGGAATAAAATCATCATCAAAGGACAAAATATTATTGGTTTCAAGACCAGGTTGATTGAAAGAGATCCAAATAAATCCCACAGAAATGAAAAATACATAATCATTAAAATTAAAAATATATATATTTATTTCCATAACAGGAATAAATTGGTGGGCTGGAAGACAGGTCTAAAGAAATCAGTCAAAATGCAACAACTAGGAAGACAGATGAAACAAATTTTAAAGAGTTTAAGACACATGGAAAACAGAATAAGAAATTCTAACAGATGATGAACTGAAATTCCAAAAGAATAGCACGTATCTATGTATGTGTGTATGTCTGTGTGTGTGTTCGTGTGTGCAGACACACATGCACATAGAGGGAGAGAGAAAGAGGCAGAGATGCAGAGAGAGAGAAAGAATGGTTAATTTTAAAGAATTATAAAAGATGTAAATCTATAAATAGAAAGTACGATAAATACCACACAAGAAAACCACAGATTCATACTTAGCAATACTATAATGAATCTGGGACAATTAAAGTGACTATCGAATTCTCTTTCTTATTTTATAATGATTTTGATTATTGGTAATAAAATACATGAGCCAAAGATTCTCTCTTTTGCCTCTTCCAACACTATTCCAGAGTATGAGACATAATCCTGTTGAATTTTATAGCTATAAGTCTTCAAACGGTTTTAGAGCTGCTTTGAAATTTTACGTGCTTGAAGACCTATATAATATTTGCCTTAGTCTCTGACCTCTCCTCAAATAGGTTTTCATATTTCGCTTTCCAAAACAATAACTGAGAGCTATGGAAACTGTTGATAAATGTCCTTCTAAAGCCGAAACAGAAAGTGTTAGTCTTTGCAAATAAAAAAATTATCTTCAAAGAAACTTCTCAGATATTTGTGTTTTAGATGTCAGGAGTATCTCTTCATAATAATTTTTTATGAAGTCAGATTTCTGGATTAATGTTGATTTGTCGTTATACATAATGTGTCTGTATATAATACATTCCTTTGATGATTTGTCAAAATTTTATTATTTTTCTCCAGCAAAAATAGATCCTCCAGTTATGAATATAACTCAAGTCAATGGATCGTTGTTGGTAATTCTCCATGCTCCAAATTTACCATATAGATACCAAAAGGAAAAAAATGTATCTATAGAAGATTACTATGAATTAGTATACCGAGTTTTTATAATTAACAATTCACTAGAAAAGGTAAGTTCAGATAAATAGATTTATTTAGTGTTTTTTCTTGTTTCTTTAAGCAATATTTTGGTCATAGTAGATGTCCTCTTCTGCTACTCTGCCTCCTCTTATTTTTTCTTATCTTTAATTCCTTCTTGCTCTCAACCAGCGTTAATCCCTGGTTGCTGGCATCACCATCGGAATATGTGCGTGCCCTTTCGGCCCTGCAGTTTGTCTCCACAGTCTTCTCTGCACATCTAAAGACTGGTATTAACAGTACTGAATTCCATGTGACTGCCACAAATATTTATTTGTATGGACTTTGCATAGCTTATTTTATTTATTTATTTTTAGAGTGGGTTTCACTCTGTCACCCAGGCTGGAGTACAGTGGTAATCATAGCTCACTGGAGCCTCTAACTTCTGGGCTCAAGTGATCCTCCTGCTTCAGCCTCCTGAGTAGCTGGGACTACAGACTTGCACCATCACATCCAGCTTTTTTTTTTTTTTTTTGGAGATGCAAGGTCTCACCATGTTGCCCAGGCTGGTGTCAAACTCCTGCCCTCAATCAATACCCCTGCCTCAGCCTCCCAAAGTACTGGGATTACAGGCATGAACCACCATGCCCAGCCTCACACCTTACTTTTTGAATCACATGATTATATATTTATGTGTTTTGCTGTGATTTTTGATTTTTTTTTTTTTTTTTTGGAGACAGTGTCTGGCTTTGTTACCCAGGCTGGAGTGCAGTGGTGCAATCACAGCTCACCGCAGCCTTGACATCCTGGGCTCAAATGGTCCTCCCACCTCAGCTTTCCAAGTAGCACCCCAAATCCAGGTGTGCGCCCCCATCCCCAGCTGTGTTTTTTGTACTTCTAGTAGAGGCGAGTCTGGCCATGTTGCCAAGCTAATCTTGAACTCCTGGGCTCAACTGATCCACCTGCCTTGGCCTCTCAAACTGCTGGCATCACAAACATGAGCCACCATGCCCGGCCTGGCTGTGGTATTCTAATCCACCATCAGTGCTTTGGTCTGGATTTGGTGGATAACTGAATTTTTTCGTTTTTTGGCATCTTCTAAGATGAGGGGTTTTTTATTGTAAGGTGCAGAAACCCCAGTTCAACTTGTTTAGAAACAAAAGAGGAGGAAAAGAGGAGGGGAGGGATTATTAGGAGATAGGCAAACAATCTCGGGGACAGAAGCAGGACATGGAGTGCCCGCAGGCTTAGCGGTGACTGAGAAGGGAAATGGAAGTAGTCCTAAGGGATCCTGCTCTGTCTCTCAGACTTTCTGTCTCCCTGCGGCCACAGTTGCATGCTTACAGTCAGCTCTGCTCATCTACACCATTCTCATTTCACACTTCAAATTCTTAAAAAGATGGCCAGGCAGGGTGGCTCATGCCTGTAGTCCCAGCACTTTGGGAGGCCGAGGCAGGCAGATCATTTGAGGTCAGGAGTTCTAGACTTGCCTGGCCAACATGGTGAAACCCCATCTCTAAAGAAAATACAAAGATTAGCCGGGCATGGTAGTGCACGTCTGGAATCCCAGCTACTCGGGGGAGGCTGAGGCACGAGAATCCCTTGTACCAGAGAGGTGGAGCTTGCAGTCAGCCGAAATAGTGCCACTGCACTCCAGGCTGGGTGATGGACTGAAGCTATGTCTCAAAAAAACAAACAAAATTCTTAAAAGGAAGACTCTAACCACAGGGTCAACCAGCTCCCAGCCCTCAAAGAGAAGTCAGGTTCACCTACACGGCCACTTGCCCTGTCCCTTTACCAAGCTATGGCCTAGGACTCTAGGGAAGAAAGGTGTGTTTAGGAAGAAATCCCACAACCCAGCCACAACTGTGACCATGTACAACTTGTTAATTGAAACAAAAATACAGCTCTGATTTAATGGCAACCACCTGTCATCTGATTTTTTTCTCTCTTGTGTGTAGGAGAAAAAGGTTTATGAAGGGACTCACAGAGTTGTTGAAATCGAAGCTCTAACACCACACTCCAGCTACTGTGTAGTGGCTGAAATATATCAGCCCATGTTAGGCAGAAGTCAGAGAAGTGAAGAGAGATGTGTGGAGACTCCATGACTTGTGGGCACTCAACAATGTGGAAATGCTCAAGCTCCCTGAGAATGGGATGACTCATGTTTGAAGGATCTTATTTAAAGTTGTTTTGTATTTTCTTAAAGCAATATTCACTGTTACACCTTGGGGACTTCTTCGTTTATCCATTCTTTCATCCTTTATATTTCATTTATAAACTATATTCGACCAATATTCTCTCCAAAAATCAAAATTTAAAAGACGAGGCAGAGAATAAACGGTTCTATGAAATTCGGAACTTTATTTCTGAATGTAACATCCCTGATAACAACTTTCATTCTTCTAAGACAGCAAAATAAAAATTTAACAACCAAGGAATAGTATTTAAGAAAATGTTGAAATAATTTTTTGAAAATAGCGTTATAGACTGAGGCAGTCCCGAAGCAATCGTTTTTCACTCTCTTATTGAGCCAGTTAAATTGGCATTGTTATACCAATTTAAAATTTCTATATGGATGAATATTTTTCACATATTTCTATTTTCTATGAATATACTTTTTAAATATGTATTTCTTATTAAATATTTCTACTAAATGAATCAAAATTTTGTTTCAAATTCTATTCTCTTTAAATAAGAACAGGTTTTTGGCTAAAAATATCTCATGATTTCTGGATTGATAGCTGAATTAAGACTATCAACAATAAGGAAGTCTACTCAACGCAATTGTCCCTCATTTAAAACATACATTAAAATTTTCTTTTCTATTTTTGCTTTGTTTAGTTTTTAATCCTGTCTTAGAAGAATTTATCTTTATTCTCAAAATTAAATGTAATACTTTTTAGCGACAAAGAAGAAAAGAAACCCCATTACTCAACCCTTCTGGCCAAGACTATCTTGCTTGTGGTGCCTTCCTCGTCTCTACATAGGAGGATCCCATGAATGGTGGTTTATTGGGAACTGCCGGAGTCTAAGCAGAGAACTCAGCTTGAAGCTGGAAACATACAGGGGTAGCAGGAGAAGAACTGCTGTTGGTAGACGCCTACAAAGACTATAGAGCGAGACAAAGCCCTCCAAACTGGCCCCTCCTGCCCATCTGCCTCTCCTGAGTAGCAATCTGGTGGCCTAAGGCTCAGCGTGATCAACAGAAAGCCGCCTTCTTCACTTGAGACTTAGTCGTTATCTATGTTTAAGGTTGTCTTTCTAGTGCGGAGATACATATCAGAGAACATTTATACAATTCCCCTTGAAAATTGCTCCAAAGTGTGATAACAATATAGTTGGTGCTTCCAGTTATATACAGGTACTCAGTGATGAATGGATTAAAAAATGTTCAGAAATGTATTGGTGGGGGAGGGAAGGAGAGGCAGAGGAGCAAGAGCTAGAGAACTGGTTTCCTTGCTTCACTATACGGTCAGAAAACATTGATTTGAGCATAGATGCGGAGACTGAAAAAAAATTTACTTTGATCTCTGTTTTTGAATTCGAATTATTTATGTTTTACTTACTACCTTTTTTTGCCTTTTGTGGGGAGGGTGATGAATCAAGAGCAGTGGGGTGGGTGGGGAGTAAGTAAAATTTCAAACAGTATTTTAGTGAATGCAATTCAGGAGTCCTGAAACCTGACTTAAAAAAAAAAAATTAATGTACAATTTTTTCATGAAAGTGATTAGATAACATCAGGTTTTGTTCGTATGTTGTTTGCCTTGCTCTGGTTTTGCTTTTGTGCTTAGGCAAGTACAAAATACTCTGTGAAAATCATAATTGTCATCTTCTTCCTTGTGTTGAGGGTATATTTTCACACTATTTCAATAAATCCTTTAATTTTTTGCTTTGCATTTTGGAATATTTGTTATTTGAGCTTTTAAAAGAAGGATACAACGTATAAGTCCACCGGATGAAATTCCAAGTAAACATCTCAGGTCCATGTGAAGTTCCAACCAGGAAGAAGCAGTGTTGAGCCGGAATGAGCTTGCCCTGTGATAGAATGCAATCCCAGTCTTACAGCTGCTCAGGCCAAAAGCTCTGAGGTCATCTTTGTCTCCCTCCTTTCATTCACGTCATATATATTCAATGCACCAGTACATCCTATTGATCTGCCTCCAAAACACAACACTTCTCAGAACTACCTTTTCCAGGCCGCCATCATTTCTCCCCTGGATGGTGGCTATGGCTGCCTCACTGGTGTGTCCTCACTCTACATGCCTCCCTCCAGTCTAAGCTTAACAGGGTGGCCAGCGTGAGCCTTGGAACGTAAATGAGATCATGTCACTTTTCTGCTCTGAAACCCCCAATGGCTTCCCATCTCATAAGAGTAAAAGAAAACAAAGTCTCTATAATGGCCTCCAAGGCCCTGTTTGATCTTTTCCTTTCCTCATAATCTCCCAGACCTCACTCCCTAATTCTCACCTTGCTCACACTGCTCCAGCTCACAGAGCTCTTGCTTGCCCTCAGATACAAATGCCCTAGGCTTCCGGGCCTTTGCACCTGCTGTTTGCTGGAAGGCTGTACCCTCGTGTTTCCATAGATTCACTTCCACACCTCTGTCAGATCTTTCCTGGAAGATTGCCTTATCAGTGAGGCTGCCTTCACTATTCAAATTAAAATTGCAACCTACTCTCTGCAATGATCTAGACCCCTCAGTTTCCATCCCAGAACTGAAACCACCTGATATGCTGTAGTTTACCTGTTGACCTTGTCTATAATCTTCCTCTTCTTCCACTAGAATGTAAAGGCAGGTTGCTGGTTCTTTTTCCACAGCCGTATCTGCATTATCTATAACCAAACTTGGGACCTAGTAGACAATTAGTATTTGTTGGATAAATTAACGAAGAGTAGAAGCACTGAGTGCGTGAGATGGGGGGGTCAGGAGACCCAGAGGGAGGCTTTTCTTGTAATTTCTTACAACTTGCTGCCTCATCTTCCTCCATGGGTAAGTGTGAGAAAGAAGCATTTTTTACCGGGATGCAGAAACCAAGATGTGCAGAGACCAGATTTTGTGCAGTCCTGGTGCCACAGCAGAGGGCTATTCTAGAATCATCATTCTTCCTCCAACAGAGTGTCACTTCTGAGGTATTGTTTCTTCTCCCTGGCTGGTGGCCAAGTCCAAAAGTCCTGTCCCAGATTTTCTTCAAAAGGAGAGAGGGAGTAAAATTGGGTCCGGCAAAAAGACATATCCATATTGACAAAAAAGAATTTTAGAGTCTCCTCTAAAAAGGTCGAGGCAAGTAGATAAAACCATGAAAAACCAGGATGCCTTATGTGATGGTTAATGTTGAGTGTCCACTTGATTGGATTGAAGGATGCAAAGTATTATTCCTGGTTGTGTCTGTGAGGGTGTTGCCAAAAGAGATTAACATTTAAGTCAGACTGGGCGAGGCAGACCCACCCTCAATCTGGGTGGGCATCGTCTAAGCAGCTGTCAGTGCAGCTAGAGTAAAGCATGCAGAAGAAGGTGGAAAGAACAGACTTGCTGACTAGGGTAGTGGTTAGTATTGCTTTTGAGTGTGTTGGTTTGGGAAGCATTTTAGCTTGAGGCAAAGGAACAAACAGTGTACCAGCAACATTCTTTCTTCACCAGTTTTTTTTCTCTTTTGAAACAAAAACAAAATTTTCATTCCTTAAGAATTAGCAAAACACAAGCCCTCATGACCACTGCCTCACAAGTCAGAGAAAAAGTTAGAGGGGAGCTATGGTGAGACTAGTTTATGTGGCAATGAAGTTACTTACATACATTCAGAAATGTATACAAGAAGGGCTTTGTGCATGGAGGCAGGTGGCCAGGCGCATCCTGACAGTGCAACGAGCCCTGAAATCTGGACACATCTTGTCTTTCTACTCTGACGTTCTCCGGCATGTAGGGGCTTTTGTCCTTATTCTTTTTGCCTCAGGGTTAAAAGATGCTTTCTGCACCTCACAAGATGCTTTCTGTACACTCTTCCGTTAGGAACTAGGGGGAAGAGGTGAGGGTGAAAGTTGTGGCAGTACCTACTTAAAAACATGATTAAAATCTTCTTGAAAGTTCTACCCAGGATAAATGGTGGAAATAGAACTGGATGGATTTAAGAAATATTTAGAAGGGAAAATTAATAGGACTTGGAAACAAATTAGATATGAAGGATGAGATGGAGGTGCTAAGATGATGTCAAGATTTCTGGTCTGGGTGCCTGGGTAGGTGATGGTGCCATTCACTTAGGGAATTGGGTTTTGGGAGAAGATCATGGGTTTAGTTATGTTGAGTGTGAGGTGCCTCCAAAACAACCAAAAGGAGATGTCCAGTAGACAATTAGATATATTACTCTACTTCTTCCTTGTGATAGGCGTTCTTTTAGTAGAAGCAGTGTTGCATGGTAAAGCATGGTGGCCAATAAGTCACTCAGTAAGTCCACAGGACCTGGCCCAGACAGAAACACGATGAGCTAGGCTGGTGAACCCAAATCTGGATGTGTCTGTCCCATTGCGGACAGATCACTGCCACCTCCAAGGTATGCTAACATCCAAGGTATTCACAGGCCACTTCCTGACGGGACACTCAGGGCTGCAGCAGGCAGGTCAGCCTCAGTGAGAGGAGGCCCAGTTTCCAAGCCATGTGGGACCCCTGTCCCTACTGCACTGACATTTGTTCTCGAGCACATTGAGAAAACACCAGGGTGTCTGGGAAAGAGACTGAGTAGGTCACAGGTCCACAGAGCGGGTCACCTTGTCCACTGATCCTGACATCCTGCAGTCTTATTTGTGCTGTAAGGTTGGATCCAGTCTTGCTATGCTCCTCCTGCCTCATGGCTCGATGGTTCAGAGAAGACCCATTCATGATGAGAAGTGCAGGCCACATGGTCACGGGGGACCCCAGGGTCAGGCTTTCAGCTTCCCTCAGGGTGAGTAATAAGCCAATAGATGTTTTCCAGAATGAGCCTAGTTATTTGCTGAAGAGGGTAGATTTTAGTCTGGAACCCTGGAAACCGCGGCTGTGTGTCTGCTGGTCAGGGCTCGCCACCGACTTCCTGCTTGGTCTCTTCCGTAGTGTTACCTCCTCCACCAGACTTTCATAGTCCAGCCAGAGTGACTTTTCTAAAACTGAAATCTGGCCCTGGCTAAAATCTGAACGTTAATTTGTTCAATCACAATCCTTCAACACATATTTAATAAGCACAATTACATGCTGGTTTCAGGTCTTGAGGATTCAGCAGAGACCAAGATAAAAAGTAATGGCAAAAACCACAATTACTTTTGCACCAACCTGATATTACACATATATGTGTATGTAAACATATATATTTTTAAGTGTAAAAAAAGAATTAAAAATTAATTATAGGAATCTATATAAAATATATATAAATATAGATAACATTATATATGTGTGAATATATAAGATATAAATATTTAATTTTCTTTTCTATTTCTTACCTCAACACTTTTAAAGGGTGCGTTGGCATTTGTTAATTTTTAACTTGTCCACAGAATACGGTGAATTAGTTCTCCTGGGCCTTAAGAACCAAATGGCTGAGCTGCTTGTTGGCAGCATGAACTAGAAAAGCCATCTCTTTTTGTGGGCCGAATTCAAATACGAAAATTTTCAATACATCTAGTAAATGAGAGGGGCAGTAAACCAAATATTGCCTCCAAACCCTGAAGAGGTACGCCAAGTGACCTCTTTTAATGGTAGACGGTAAAAAGGATAGAAAATGTCACTTAATTCAGAGGGTATCTCAAGTGTGCTGAATGCCCCAGGACTTGACTGACTGGGTAGGTTCCTGAATTTTATGAAGTTTATTTCCTACGCTCTGGTACACACGTATCCTACTAAATCATATCGGGTGAGGGTTAATTCTGGCTCTCCAGCTCTGTCAGGCCAGTCTCCTCCGAGCAGTAGACAGTGCCGTGTCCTGTGGACGGTAGAACATTCCAGCTTCCTGCTGAAGGTGTGTTCCGGAGTTCTATATTGATTAAAATAGAGAAAAATAGATTTGCCTGATGAAAAGCTGCATACTGGTTTCCAGGAGCTGCGTTGGCTTTCTCCAGCCGATGAGTGTTTTTTCAACAGCAGCTATAACGTTCAATTACTCTTTTGTCATTTTCCAAAACCCACCTGCTTTTTGCAGACCAAGAAAAGCTAGTGAATGGGTATGCAGGCACATGGTAATAAAATTCAAATGAACTTATATTTGTTTGTATGAAGGCTTTTAAATCTTCTAGAGACAATACCTCCCTTCATTCCCCTAGAGCCTTAACTTCAAGGGAGATTTTAATTCTAGGGTACCATACAGGAAAGTTGATTCAAGGCAAGCATTAGCTTCTAGTATCCCATCTCTTAGCTATATTTTCACTGCTCTCATCTCTAACAAGGCTAAAAAATACGCACAAATTTTCTTCTTCCCTCGAGGTCTGTTATTTGGAACCAGTGATGGTACTAATTTATGTAGTAGGCTGGTTTCTTAGGTGAAAGCAACAGAAACCAAATCTGGATAATTTAAACAGAAAAGGGGAGGTATTAAAAGGATGTTGATTAGAGAAAAGCAATTTAAAATCGTAAGCCGGAAAGAAACCAGCTTTATCTTTCTGCTGATTCCTTCATTAATAATGAATTTAATATGTCTTTATTGCGTTAAAGTTATGAGGCTGGGAGATCTGTTTTGACTGAATGTTGTACTTTGACAATTTTTGGAGAGTCCATGTAGATGTCTTAGTAAACCCCTTTCTAAAATTAATTAGGCTGCACTGAATTTTGCACTGATGGATGCCAGGTATTTCTCGGGCTCTTGGAGACAGTGTCAAATAGCAATACACACTTACCGCTGCTGATTCTGTTTCTCTGTTCTTTTCCCTTCTTGGAGTCTGT